TGTTGTTGTTGTTGTTGATTTACGTCGCACTAGAGCTGCACAATGGGCTATTGGCGACGGTCTGGGAAACATCCCTGAGGATGATCCGAAGACATGCCATCACAATTTTGATCCTCTGCAGAGGGGATGGCACCCCCGCTTCGGTAGCCCGACGACCTGCACGTGAAGTCGAGCACTTTACGATAGAACAGTTTAACGAGGACCAATACCGCACACCCTCTGTCCCTACGCAAACTGATCCAAGTGGTCACTCACCCGCACACTGACCGCAGCCGGTGATGTTCGACTTTGGTGATCTGCTGGGAACCGTGTCTTAACGATCAGTCCACTGCGGGACGTAGAATTTGATTAAGTTGCATTCATACAACTTCCTACAAAGCTTGCACTTCAAATATCTGTTAGGTATCTTGCGTTGTAGCCATTTCCAAGTTCAGGATACAAATAAGAAATGTTTATTTCGTTGGTATTTAAACTAGATAACTCTATCATACCCACTTTCATCATCAAAGCGTAACCCCGTCCCACCCCCGTCAGGGGGCATCCGGAGAATACTGTAGACTCTAAGTGTGCGTACACAACCTCAACGAAAAAGAACGAAAAAGAGGATTCAAAAAGGTGGGCTTGGTGGCGATCCATGACAACAACAGAAGGCCTCAAAGAATTTAGTGAAATCTTACCCCCACTTTCATAAAAAAATTAATGTTTTTAAATATATATGTTTCGTTTCACGCCTAAAGATGTCTGTTTCTAACATTTATTGCAAGGTCTCACATACGGTTAAGTGTAAAATTATCTGGTTTTGACATTTTAGAGCTATAACTGAATAACAGCATCAAATAATGTGTAATCCCAGACGGGAAATCGAAAAATGTTGTGAAATATAATTTTATTGTTCCACATATAATATATCGTTAATATCTGTGGGATATTCATTGAAAATTACACTTTTGTTTCCAAATTATGAAATAATTTAATATAAAAATAATTTGCTGCATCGGCCGGGAATCGAACCCGGGCCGCCCGCGTGGCAGGCGAGCATTCTACCACTGAACCACCGATGCTTATTTTTATAAACACTTCATGTATTATATTGTCTCTCTTGAGAACACTAACCTAAATAAATAAACAAGTGAATCTTCACCTGCGGGCAAAGAACACTTCCTCCATCATTCAGGTCTGATCTTCACCTTTGATCTCCAAATCAACGTATCTGACGTTAAGGATCAAGCACTTTTTAAACATGGGATTTTAATAAACTTTATTGGAAGGAGAATTAAGATGATAAATAATTATTATCATTCGAATTATTTATTGAATTAATGCCTTTATATAAACAAAGTACTGCAAAAGTTTTTTTTTATTCCCCAAAGACTTCTTTATTCTTTTTTTTTTTAAAGAGTTTGAAACAATTTACCCACCAATAAAGTGAAAGTTTCAAAATAAATTCTTCTTTTTATTCATTTTTTTCCGCTTCTTGTTATGTTCTTGTAATGGATGGCTCACTTATACAGACATTTTGGACACGGTAATTAAATGGCGAATACAATATGGATAATCAAACTCATGTATTTAAATACAAAAAGATAACTCTATCTCAGTAATTTCCTCTTTTGCAACAGAGAAATGAAATAGCTACTATTTTCCATGTTTTGACGAGAATACAATATAACTTTGGGAATTAAAAACCTACAATCTTTGGTAATTTATACTTATGGAAAATTTGGAAGGAAATGTGATTGCAACTTTCCCTAGAAAGGAAGAATTCTATGGAGATAAAAATAATAATTATTGAATTATTTATTTATATAACAATAGATTTAAATTCTTAATCCTTAATGTTAGAACACCTTTCAAACTGGGTTTAACTTAGTAGTGAGTATGGTTTTCAAATCGAACCATATAAGATTGCATAGTGATTTTCG